GAGATCCTTTCGTCCGGCCCACCCCTTCTCGGCCCACCATGCCTCCCCCGGGGGCTGGCCACACGCATCACCTCTTGCCTGGGCCAAGTCAAGGGCAGCCCTGCCTAGCGGCTGGGCCCTGGGCTTGGGCCACACTGTCTAGGCCATGTCCTAGCTCCGCCTTTTGTGACCACACCCTGCGTGCCTGGGACGAGCCTCCTCAGTGTCCCCGGCCCTGGAACGGGGACGAGAATAGTCTCTAGTTCACTGTGACGACCAAACGGAGGGATGCATACAAGCCCCGGGGACGAGCCGGCGCGCAGTGGGTGCTCCCAACGCCCGTGGTGAGTGCCCGCTGTCTCTGCCCAAGCCTCGCCCACCATCCAAGTCCCAGGGGACCCCAGCACCAGCTCTCTGACCACCACCTGCCGCTAGGAGTTCCGGCGGCTCTGAGTTCGCTCACTCCTGAGGCCCCCGCCCCGTGTGGCCTGGCTCCGGCTGCCACCTGTTCGTCTCTCTGCTCCTCCAGGTCAGCCGTCCGGGACCGGCCTCTCCTCACCTACCGCGCCACCTGCGTGGGCCCCCCTCCCCCTCCTGCCTGGCCGTCCTTCTAATTAGTACCAGGACGCACACTGTGAGTCAGTCCTTGAACAAGGGCAGGGCCTGGGGCCTCACCAACAGGCCTGCGGGCAGCGGGTGCCAACGGACAGGTGGCGAAACCACCACTAGGAGACAGCAGCTCAGGCCGGAGCGCCCGCCTGGGCAGGGGCGCGGGGGGGTGAGCAGAGCCCCCTGGTTCCTGCCACCAGCTGCACTGTCGCCTCCCCAGGTGCAGGAGCGGGTGAGGGGCAGAGGCAGCACTCAGACCGTGTGCCCTGCACCTGTGCCCCGTCTACACTGACTGATGAGCGTGTCCCTACCCAGCAGCACACATGCACACGCGTGTGAGCACACATGGCATCCGGGGTGAGGTTAGCCTCCGGCAGCTTCCCCAGTTCCCTGGCATGTCGACCTCACCCGGAGCCTGCGGGCGTCTGTTTCAGGACGACCTCCACGTGCAGGTGATAAAAACTCCCTCCGAAATGCGACGTCCGGGAATGAACACTTTGGGAGGCATGACAGCCGCGTGAAGCAAGAGCAGAGCGTGTCCTGACCCCACGTGCCGCCGGAGGGAGCGGCGGGCGGGGGAGAGCGGACAGTGGCACCGCGCCCCAC